TTTTTTTTTTTTTTCAAACGAAAATCAATAAATGTCCTTTTGAGCTAAACGAAGGAACAAGAAAATGCGTTAGTGGACATTAAAGTGCGCGATAGTTCGTATGCATTAATTTGCAAATATAAAATGACTACAAACCAAGCACTGACATCTAACTGGTCATAAAACTAGTCAGCTAGTTAAACCTTTACATTAGGATATGTGTCGCGCGTTCACAATTAGTAGACAGACTGCCTTTGAGTATGAGTAACTGGGTAGTGGGTTAAATAAGTGTTTTTGCGTAAGTGTGTAAGCACTTCTAAACTCATAATGAAAGCGAAGGGAGGAAAAAAAAAATTAATACATGCTTTGACAGGCATCTAGTTGGCTACCATAGCACAAATACTTGGCGCTGTCAGCACGAAATGACCACAACAAAAAAAAATGGTCATACACAGGGACACATACATGTATGGTGGAGGGTAGGCGATGAATAAATATTCGATTATAAAAATGAATGAACGTAGAGCGTAAACAACATTTGTGACTCAAAGTTTTATAACAACATTTTGATTTCATTTATTAGGATAAGAGAGAAATATGCAGCACCGCTCTCTTGTCTCGCTCGTTGTCCTTAGTCCTACGTACAGACGAAACTTATTCACAATTCAAACAAGTAAGAACATTACAATCGGGCAAGGTCGAACATTGAATACCACACAACGCTTCGTCTAATTTGATAATAACACCACAAATATGACAAATATTGTTCGAGTCTAAAAAATAGGTTTGTGTGATCCAAATTCCTTGGCGTTAATGTTTATATCAAATTGCTGCCATGATGAAATATTAAAAATTCAACTTTTGCCCGAAGGGCTTACTCTTCGAGAAAAATTTTATATGGAGAAATAGACTCACGTGGTTGAAATTTAAACCATTTCCAAAAAAAATTTGATCATAAAACTTTAACAAATAGGCCTTTTTGGCATATAAGGACGTACACTCCTTAAGAATCCTTATATGGGGTGATATTCAAAAAATAGACTTACCTGATCCAAACTCGGCACAGTTGATTTCTTTGCCAATTTACTATTGTAAACCAATTTTCCCCATGAATTATTGAAAGTTAGATCTGTTTATCGTACAAAATTTAGGAAAGCTGTTGTAAGAGAAGGTATCCAAAACATGGTTTCAACCGAACCGAATTTATCATAGAAATTTAGAATGCCCAAAATACTCAGTCAATTTTGACGAAAAACTTTGAAAATTGCAATTTTTTTCCATATAATGACTTCTGTTAAGAGGGCGTTATATGGGGAGTGAGTTGAAAAAGTGAACCAATAGCGCCAGTGTATTAAATTTCATGAAAATATCTCAAAAATTGCTATCAGCAGGATGAAGATAAAAGTAAATGGACAGACAACAAGCGGACAGACGGACAGAGAGACTTAGATCGATTCAGAAAATGATTCAGAATTGATCGACATAACAAAAGGTGGTGATAATATACATTTGTACTACAAGTGGTGTAGGGTGAAATAAAATTATTAAAGCTCAAGTTAGAATATCCTTGATTTCCGATACATACTTAAGTTTATACTTTTATCTGCTTTTATCTTTTAACTCACTTTAAGTTTAATTAATTACATTTGATGTCATAAATATACTCGTGTACTCAGGAGAGTGCGTTAGAAGCAATTAAAACGATAATTACTAACTATGAAATTTTTTTCTCAAAACTTCTTGAAAACATTTATTAGGTCACCGGAAAGTTCTGTCCGTTGCATTTACAACAAATTTCAACGGGTAAGCGCATATTCATTTGACGCATCTTTAACTCTTCCTGACTATATACATAGTGACCTAGCAAATGGACTGAAATGAAGATGATTCATATCAGTATTAAGTAAGATGCGATCGTATGCCCATGGCTGCTGATAAAATCCATTCACGCCACGTGCACTATGTACAAATTACAACAACGAAGCAATGCTACAGAAGCATGTAGAAATTCATTGACAGTGTTTGGTGAAGGTACAGTTTATGAAAGAACATGCAGAAGATTGTTCAAAAAATTTCAAGGTCAAATAGGTGATTTCGAGTTTTCTAATCAGCCCCTCTCTAGGCGAGCATTGGAGCATATCTTTTTTTGACTATATCGGAGATTGAGAACAGGGTTGAGTCACATCAACGACCCGTTTCAGATCATATTCGAGAATCAAGATTTCGTTCTATTCTAAATACTTTCGGATAGATCTAATATATGCAATTTTAATCCTTGCAAAAAGCAAAGAGAGTTAGTCGAAGTCAGTTAGTCGTCAAACTTCGATGTCAAGCTATGCGAGCGTGACATGAAATAACACGTCGCTTAGGCGATGTCTTTTGTACGCGCATAAACATGCCAAGTGTAGGGGGAGAGGCAGTATGATCGCAGTTTAGACGGCTTACATTACATGGATTAGCACGTGTTACGCTTTCACCGACCGATCGTTTACTTTATGTGCCTGCACAGCCGTAAATTAGAATTTGAGCTCGACTACGAGGATTTGAGGGCCCGTATCTTAGGCTTTTAAGTTATGCGGCAGATCTTTGACTCCCTGGTAATACACGTTTTGGAAATTTGAGCGATTGCGACTCTTAGTTGATGGCAAAGAATTGAATTTGAAAGTAGAACCGATAACTAATGTCTAAGAAATTATACTATTTGGTAGATAAAGCCATGCACTTAGTGTAAAAAGTTTTCTAATCGGCGGACTAGCACGCTTTCAGTTAATGAATTATTTGTCACTTTTGATATATTCCCTTAAAGAAAATGACCTTGAAAATTTATTCCAACTTGATTGTAACTTTGAGTTCTTCTTTTGCTAAAATTATTTCAATATTTAAAACAAGTGGAAACACTATAGGTGAAAACGGCCCATTATTAAATACCATACACCAATCTACATTTATTTATATAACGACCTTCGAAAACAAAGTTTCACATGCGGAATGATCTCAAAAGTGTACCGATCCGAAACATTTTCGATACCGTTCGCCCCTTAGGCCAACACACACATATCAAACATCCCCAAAATATTTCAAAAATTTCATCCTGTAGGTTGAACACGGAAGAACAAGACAGAGGGACAGACAAGCCTTGGTCAATTCAGAAAGTGATTCTAAATCCATCGATGTAAGAAAAAGTGAACGTATTTGACGTCCTTCTGGGCGTTACTTCAAAATATGGTCTTTCGGGAATAATTCGTCTTCCAAAGATGAACGATGATGATGAACAAAAAGAGAATAAATTTACAAAATTTTATTAAAATCTTTGTGTTAATAATTTAGTTGTAATTGCTTTTTAGTATATAGTGAACCTTTTTAATCTAAATAGATAAAAAACAATTGTTATATAATTAGTCTTTTATGGTATCATTCATAGTGAGTCTCTGTTTTGTGTGTATTTGAGTGTGTATGCGTGCGTATATATTTTTATTAATTAGATGCCTTAATGAATGTTTTTATATACATACATGTATGCGCTTACATTGTTCTGTGTTCTTATAGTATGGCACACGATCAGTATGATCAATAAATCGAGAAACTAATGCCTTCATGTTATCGTGTTTGTGTCTGTGCATGCGAGTGTGTGTGTGTGTTTATGTAAGAGAGATATATATAGTGGACTTAAATTGCTTAAATTATAAAAATCTAACTTTTGGCTTAAACATTAAAGTAAGTAAGTGATTAATATTCCTTTGAAGTTTGTGTTATCGAAAGAAAAAAAAAAAAAAAAAAAACAAAAAAATTTATTAAAACTAAATATTGGTACATAGAGTACTATCACAAGAATCAGCGCAAAACGATTGTTTTTAACTGATTCACAAATATGGTCAATGTAATATCTGTCTCCCTTCCCCCTCCCTTCAAAGGCTTGTAGTAGCTTGTAGTTTCAAGTAACGCGCTCCATTTTCCGCATCAGCCAAACGAGCAATTTGTTCCGAGGCTGCATAACAGGTCGTAGCTGTCGGTGTACTTGAACGACTACTGTTCGCGGTTTGCCGTAAACGGGCAGCTCCCCATATTAGGACCGCAATTGACGTAACTAATATACCCAAACCCAAGCCAGGTAGGAAACTTCGATTTAGAGAATTGAAAATGTTAAAAGAATGCTTTGCATGTTGCACGTCGTCTTGTTGCACGGTTAGGGAATTAAATTTGCGACTATTAATCGCATAATCTTCGGTTTGTGAATCATCTACAGAACTACGATCGTATTTCGAGAGATCAGCATATGGATGACGTCTAAATTGACGAACTTTTGCCAAAGAATCGCCAGAACTTAATTGCAATTGCGTGATATTTGAACAGCCCACGGTTAGTTCAGCTTGAGGATTGCGATCTTGGATCATAACCAAGCAAAACCGGTAGCTGAAAACAAAAAAACAAAAAAGAAAAGAGAAAAATTTTTACAAAATTTTTTTATATATTTTGCTTACTACCCACCTCTCGCCTACATCCAAAGTGGAGCTATCCGGCACAATGACACTAACTGTATTTTGTCCATTAATGATTTTACTTTCGCAATGTATCTGTAAATGTGAATATATGTGTGTGTGTGTGTGTGAATAATTTGAATTAAGAGGACATTACGTCTTTTATTACCGGTGAGTTGTCAATTAAAATCTCGTTAATATTCTCCTCCTTATAAACGAATATTGCATCGCACATGTAATCAGCTTTACTTAGATTTATAATCCAAGTTAAGATTAGACCATAATCGGCTGAGTAATGAATTTCATGTAATACAATCTGAAAAAGCCAATTATAACCAGAGAACTTAAGAAATAATGAAAATCCTACAAAGAAACCATTTTTGATAACATTTACTTACCTCTTCTGACAGATCTCGAATATGCGTCGAGTGATTTTGTTTTGTGATCGCCTCCAGTTGCTCGATTATATTTGCATTATCTTTTTCCGCATTATCCATATCACAGTTAAGCATTTCCATGGGTACTTGGATCAGTGGAGCGCCTTCCAATTTAGGCGGAGTTACGCAGGTTATTGTAATAAGATCTTGTGTCAATTGTTTAGCTATTTGCAACCATTCGGCAAATTCACGCATTGTACAATCGCAAGATAAAGGATTCTCTTGCATTGAAAGACTTTTTAATTCTCTTGCACCATCCATTGCATGCTTGGCTACTATAGAGATATCATTGCCAGATAAACGCAAATCGGTTAAAGAGGGTAAAGGAGTAATTAGATCGGCAGTTAAGGCCCTCAAGAAATTATGCGTTAAATCCAAAATTTTCAAACGCGTCAAATGCTGTAGAGATGCGCTCGATATTGCCACGATGCCATTGTAACTTAAGTCCAAGCTTTCCAACGTACCTAAACCGTAAAAGGCATGATCTTGTAAAACATCGATTTGATTATGACGTAACGACAACGTAGTAAGACGCGAATAATTCATTAAAGCCTTATTTTGTATGCTCTTAATGAGATTACGATTCAGATTCAAGCTGGATAATTGCTTCAGTATAGGAAGCGTGGAGGCTGTTAGTGGGCCATTTAAATTATTGGCACTTAAATCCAAATCTCTGAAATTAAGAATTTTTTTTTTAAATTTTCCAATAGAGTTTCTTGATCTCATCATTTCTCTTTCTCTCTCTCTCTCTCTCTCTCTCTCACCTTAAACTGTAGCATTGTGTTAAAGCTTTCAAACTACTCGCATAGTCTCCCAAACGATTACCGCCCAATTTTAAGAATTCTAATTTACGCAAATTGGCGAACGTCCTCTGCGATATGCTTGAGATTTGATTATTGCTCAGATCCAGATACTCTAAGTTGATCAAAGAGGTTAAGTCTGAGCTGCTCAAAGCTTTTATTCTATTATTCGATAAGTCTAAACGTTCCAATTCCACTAGCAACGATATCGAACTCCATGGTACGCTGGGTAAAGCGTTACCGGGCAAACCCAAAGCCAATAGGGGGCCTTTTATATCCATAAAAGCCGACTTGTGTACACGTTTTATTTCGCCCGACGAAATGATTAAACAACGCAACGATACGCCCTCAAAGATACGAGCATCACTGAGGAATGTAACGTTACGCAAAGCAATATCTAATAGGGCTACGGAGAAAGGTGAATTGCGCAAGTTATCGGCCAAAACCTGAGGGAGAAGAAAATTAAGAAAAGAAGTTATATTTGGAATTCTCTCTCACTCTCCCTCTTTCTCTTTCTCTCTTTCTTTCTCTCTCTCTCTTTCTTTCTCTTTCTCGCGATTTATCATGCTTACCCCTAAGCCATGCAAGTCACCGTTACAGCGAAGAGTGTGAGGCAAGTCGCAACCACATTCCAAACTACGCATTCCCGTTATGTTAGGACAACGCCACTCCGTACTAGAGTCGCCGATCGGTATAGAAGAGACGTCTACAGTTTTACGTTTCTTCGACGAACTTTTATTAAAGAATTTCGCCGTTTGTTTAAGGGTCGCAGAAGAGGTTATATTTTTTTCATCTTTAATAGCTGGCGTTAAGCGAGTTACTATAGTCGTAGTCGAGGTTGTTGTAATTGTTGTATTCGTTATATTTGCATTGACATTGATTAGCTTGTCCACGACAATCATTCTAACTTTGGTTAAATTTAATAGCATTAAAAATAACCAAAAATTCACAAAATGTTGCAGCAACATGTTGTTGAGAATGAAAACTAAAATAAACAAAAAAAAAACAAAATAAACACAAAATAAATAAATTAAAATGATTTTTTTATTTTAAACAACAGTGGAAATTTTGATCAATGTCTACTTCCTTTCTTTTTTTCTATACAATGAATAAAAAATATTTATGCGTTTATTTTACTTGTACATGAACACATATATATACATATATATATATATATATGCATACATGCATATATTCTAACTAACCATACAATAATAAATAACTTGACCTAATTTCGTTGACATGTTGACACATTTTATTCCATTAAATTAAACCAACTATTATCTGTTCAGTGGATGTGCAACAATTTGCCAAATTTAAATTAAATAAAGAAAGTGAAAACAATTTTTTTTTTTTCTTTCATTTTTTTCCTTCTTTGCAATGATTGTGCTGCACTTAGACGAGCTTTCCATATGAATAGAAGACACGTTGACTTATTTATTTTTGTAGACAAATAAATCTACATATGTATGCTTATGAACTCTCAATTCAAATGTACATTCCATGTGTCACGTAGCATTTGCTTTTGTGAAACCCATAAGCTTTAGCAAAGGTTTATTAACTTGGTCCACATTCTGTTAATGTTAATCTGATCTTTTATGCATAGAATTTTAGATCGTCAGACCATCATTTATTTCTATTATATATCTGAGTTTAAAGATTTATTTGAAAATGTTAGATAGGATGCCCAAAGTGAACTGTATCTGAGAAAAACCATGTAACTAAATCAAAACGAGGATCAGTTAGGCCGACCTATAAGTTCAGCGTACGCAAAATAGCTCCCAGGATAGATAGTGAAAACTCTTTCGTCTGGCCAACTACAGCCCAGCTCTAGGCGCTATGTAGCTCCATAGCTCCATAGCTCTATGTAGTTTACGTGGGTGCATTATCGTCTAGCCTTAAACACATCGCTCTAGATAGCACACAGAGAGTGAAAACATGCACTCAGCGCCACAGAGTCTGAATGTTGTCAGCCCCGATAACTCTTCAGCCCTTTATCTGGTGGGAAGTGCCTTAAAACATATCCACTTTCCTGCGAGCTGCTGTTCGACGCAAGTTTAGCTTTGTCATTTTTTTTTTTTGTCAATTTCTCCTCATATTCTATTTATCCATATGTCTCTTTTTCACACCGTTGGTTATACGAAGAATCTTTTGTCATTATTTTTATCGTCCATTGAATAGAAATATATTTGTATAAATAGTCAAGTAAGGTCGCCGTTTAATCGAATAAAATGCTGATTAACTTTACCAATTTTACTAATTGTAGCGATTAACACTTAATCGACATTTACGCCTCGCATATATGATGGGAGATGAGAATTTTAAAAGATGAAATGAAAGAAGAAGCAAACTATCTGTTTTGGTTTTTACAGATTTTTTTTTTTTTTTTGTTCATATCGCGTTACGCGATAGTGGCTTTAGTTTTTCATCCGTAGACGTACAAATATGCAACATATTGGATTTCTCATTCCGTTTGCAGTAATCGCGAATGCATCATAAGGAAGCCTATAACGTTCGTATACATGCATCGTGAAATTTTCGCTCAATTTCTTAAGGTTCTCGGATTTTTTGCTTTCGGAAAGGTAAAAACACTTGAAACTCGAACTGAAAACATGTAGTATATAATAATGTAAGCTTTGGTATTAATTCGATATTTATCAATGTTTTGACAGTCACTAAACTGATATTGCCATAAATTCGTACGATATCCAAGATATCGCTTAAGGAGTACTTTTCTTAAATTTCTATAAAGTTCAAATAAAAAATATATATATATATATATATATATATAGTTGATCATAGTACGCTATTAAATACCTCACATTAAGCTACCATTCATTATTCATGTAATAACTTTTCAAAGTAAGGCATTATATGAGATCTCGTCGAATAAATGAAGCGATTCGAAACATTCTCGATACCGTCCGCCCACATAAACGTATCAAATTTCACCAAACCATTTCAAAAACTGGAATCCATAAGTTGAACCGAACAGGCTGACAGACAAGCTTAACAAAGCGCGTTAGCATGCCAAAGATAGGAGAATGAAGGGGACGTATGGACAAACACGCTTAAATTAAATCAGAAAATGCTTTGAAACGATCGACATAATAAAAGTTAGGTTTCTCTCAACTTTTTCTCGGTGTTGAATACATACGCACAAACATAATATAGCCGTGTACCATGACAATTTTTGTGGATATTGAGACTTGAAAGCTTCGCTTCTTGTTCTGCCAAAGGAACGAATCAGAATAGCATTCAATTAATTAGAAAAGTTTTCAATCAGATAAGGTAAGCTTCGATTATGTAAACATGAGCTTTTAAAATGCCCTTCTGCCCTTCGGTTTTCTTCATAGTCTGCTTTTTTGTTCTAATTATCAGTGCTCGTAATATTGCTAAAGGCACTTTATCTTGATCGTAGGAGCTTAAAAGAAATTCGTTCTTTGCCTTGGAAAAGACAAACAGAGACTGTTAAATAGCCCATAATAGCATGTAGTCACATATGTTTAAATTAAATTTCGCACTTTCGTTTGTTGCAAAAAGCAAGAAAAAAAAAAAAAGAAAAGAGTAATAGAAATCATTAACTATTGTATGCGAGCGCGTAAATATTATGTGACAAATAAATTTATAACGTAATCAAATAAAAGTGAATGCGAGATTGTTGCAAGACACCAGACCAAGCCCCGAGGCTTTAAAAGATCTCAAACTTTGCAAGAATCAAACAGTGAGTAGTTAAAATTAGAACGTGTTGCATATTAGCGATGCGCGTGTGTATGTGAATTTGCAAATTCTTTCATTTGATAAGAGAAAAGTGAATCCTTTTTTGTGCTTTGCTCAACCGATATAAGTTGAATTTAAATGTGCGAACATTTGAAATCTCGCATCTATCTGCATAGCTAACCATTTCTTTCATTGTTTTAAAGTTAAATATTAATTAAAAAAAAAAAAAAATAAATAAAAAAAATAAACGATAGAAAATGAATTTTAAAAATTTCTGCGTAACGAGATATCTTGTGCTACTGCTGCTGTTAATTTTCAATTTCTTGGCCAAAAATCAAGCTAAAATGTTTACAAGATGTCAGTTGGCCAAAGAATTGTTGCGCCATGATTTTCCTCGAAGCTATCTATCAAATTGTAATTAATTTATAAATTTAATAATTAAAAAATATGTAGAACAAGTGAGACCACTATAGCGGACCTACATCACTTCGTCTATTACATTTATTCATATAATGACTTTTTAAAACAATGCTTCATATGCGACGTGTCTGATTCGAGTTATTTCGAATAGGGCTCGTCCTTGGTTCATAAACTATCCGTGCGTCACCTCTCTTCGAAATATCTCAAAAATTCACTACCTTGGACGCACGAAAACGAAGCGGACAGACGGACAGACAAACTCAGATCGATGCAGAAAGTGCTTCTGATTCGATTAGTGTAGTTAAAGACGGGTCTACCTCAAGTCCTTCTGGGTGTTGTATATATTCGCGAAAACTTACTACGCCCTTCTTTCACATGTGATGTAGGGTATAAAAATTTCTTGAAGGAGTCCTTTTTTTATTATTCTTTTTATTATCATTATTGTTGTTATTTAAGGGGTTTGCTTAGTGGAGAATGAGAGCGGTCGTAGTACTTCAAAAGTAACACAATTACCCAATCAATCAGTTAGTTACGGTCTATTTCAGGTAAAAGATGAATTTCTTTTGATTTTTCGAGTTTTTATGAAATTTCATTTTGTTGTTTTTCTTTTGTTTTTCGTCTTTAGATAAACAGTAAAAATTGGTGCCGCAAAGGACGTAAAGGTGGCATTTGCAATATAAAATGTGAAGGTAAGTAAGTAGTGTGAAGTTAAAATTGATTATAATCATAAATAAGAGGAGTAAAAAAGTAAAAAAAAAAAAATTCCAAAAATTTCTATTTCTTCTTGCAATCGTTAAAAATTCGGCAAAAATATTTGGAGCATGAAATATGCATTGAACTTCCCGTTTAGTGCATATTGTATCCCTTCTGTACCTCTACAGTTTTGATTAAGTTAAATAGTGAAGTAGATTAACCCATACGTGAACATCTATCTGCTCTTTAAAGTCTTTACGTAACTTACGATAGAACGACAAAGTTAGTTACAAAATTTCCTCTTCTTCCATTATCCGGTTAGTTTCCAAAGTTGAGAAAATCAATCTGCGTTTTCAGTCAAGCTTGAACCTTTTTTAGTTTCTTCTTCACCTGGCTTTAAGCATTTTGTCTTGAAATTCTCGACGAAAATTCAGGGAGAATCGCCTAAAGGTTCTCGATTACCTTCATATGTTTATCAATTATTTGAAAGGACACTTAGGGATGGATAACCGAGAGTAAATGTGAAATTGTGATCTAACGAAATTCAGTCCGAGCCGAATATAAACCATACTTCACCGATCGCTATTGACTTCAATAGCTCTAGTGAAATAAAGTTGAATAACTTTAAGTTGTTCCAGTTTGTTGACCGTCTAGGAATATGGCCGTTTCAAGTTTACGCTCACTTTGGTAGCAACCAGAAATACGCTTCAAAAACCATTACGTGCGTTTAATCTTAGCTCCCTTAAAGTTCTTAGCCATGTGTGTCAGTTTAAGGAACCATCCGTCTGTTCGGAAGCCCGTCCACCTAATCAAAAGATTGGCCGCCTCTTCGAAGGATCTTCGAAGAACCGAACGGATTAATCAAAGACTCATCCAAATGTTCGAAATCCCCGCCCATCTCTTTAAAGAATAAGTTATCTCCGTTTGTTAGACTGCCGTTCTTCTTAAAAGCCAACTCTTGCTTGCGGTGGGTAATATCTGCTAAAAGGATAACTCGCTTGCCCGAAAGACTGTTCGCCTTTTTGAATAATTGTCGAAATCCCCGCCCACCTCTTTAAAGAATAAGTTATCTCCGTTTGATAGACTGCCGTTCTTCTTAAAAGGCAACTCTTGCTTGCGGTGGGTAATATCTGCTAATAGGATAACTCGCTTGTCCGAAAGACTGTTCGCCTTTTTGAATAATTGTCCGCCTGTGCGAAAAACCAAACATTGGCTTAGAGTTTCGTCTTTCTATTCGAATGGTCTGGCTTGTTTGTTGATGTTCTATTCAAAGAATCGCTCGTCAATAGTAACCAGAAATAAATTGGAAAAGACTTCACAATTTCCATTTGTTCTTAACTAATGTAAGCTTTCTCGTCAAATTTGTTTGCTTAAAGGACAATTTAAAACTAATTCTCTTTCCCCAGTCGAAGGGTCGTTTATTTCCTCGAAGGACAGTCGACCTGCCCGTAGGGCCCTCCACTGATGATCGTCCGCCATAGGACGGGTTGGTCGAATGAATGACCATCGAGTGATCGTGCCTCTATTTGAATGTTCATTCGTGTACCCGAAGGGTCGTCCATACTTTCGAATTAACGTCCGTCTGCTGCAAGGACCGTTCACTTATTCGTCTAATGGTCTAGCTATTCGAATGGTCGTCTGCATGTTCGAATGGCCAAAAAGGCCCGCTTTGAACGGCGTAGTTTGTTCGCTTATGGTGTAATCGAAGCATCACACATCAATTCAAAGAATGGCTCTTACAGTGGGTCTGCCCATTCGAAGAACGCTTGTTTGTTTAGGCGACGGAGTGAGCGCCGCTCTAGATCCGTAAAACATGAGACAAAATCCATCACCTCGGTCCTATCACTTAAAAACCATCGAAGAAATTCCAAAGACATTTGGTAAATGCATATATTACCTCGACTATCGTTAAAAGTTCAGTGCGGGATTGGCTCCAGACCGAGAACTTATACGTTTCAAGTAATGAAAAGAGCTCCGAAATGTCTATAAATTTTGTATGAAGGGATGAATGTGTCCCTGTTTCAATTTTTAGATTGCATTACGGGTGATATAAGAAAAATATTCGTAGACATTAATTAAGATTTTGTTTCCCTGAGACACGTCTAAGTAGGTAGTAGTAGAAGCCAAACACTTAGACAAACAAAATGTATGGTCGAAAGATCTAGTAGAAGTGGTCTTTTACCATTTGTGCCCAATCGTGTGGATCGATTGGACGCATCAGTGTTTTACTACCCACTTTTCACAAAGGCTCACTTATTCGCATAAAAGTTAAAGAGTAATACGGTGTAAATTGAATTTTAACTTAATCGCTTTAAATTCGTTACCGTAAAAAAGAAAAAATCCTCAATTAACGGTTGATACTTTCGATTCAAAAGGGGTTAACTCTGTATGATACAATCAGTAATACAAGCACGCCTAACAACCCACGTACAATTATAATCTAGACGCTAGAAAGAAAAAAAAAAAACATTAACTTTGAGTGTATGACAAAAACCGCTCTCTTTACTTTTACCAGTTGTTGTTGCTGTGTTTACTTTATTCACCTCGACATCAGCGCATGCAATAACTTTATGTTATCCGTTTTGTAACCGAGAGAATAAAAGGCCCAAGGTTTTTTTAAAAAATCGATCGATGAACATGATACATGAAACTCTTCTTCCCTCTGTTGAGTTATTTATCCCTTTCCTAGATATATGAGAAGAGTTGCATTTTCAAAATAATAAATGCCGAGCGCAGGCGCCTCTTAATAAGAAGAAGAAAATGAATAAGAAGAAGCTTTCGCATTTCTTAAAGCCGTTTATGTTAACATTTGAAAAAATTGGAAAAAAAAAATTCCAAAACCCCTTTTCGAAAAGCACACATACAACAATGAACATAACTACTTAAGCTAATATACTAAATGGGTGTTAGAGATTCGACTTGATATAGCATGCGTGCAATTAATGCATTATTGTTTGTCTTCTTTTTTTTTTGCTCTTTTGTAGACTTCCTTAGCGATGAAATTTCGGATGATTCTCGTTGTGCTATGCAGATTTTTAATCGTCATGGCTTTCAGGCTTGGCCTGGTTGGGTAAATAAATGTCGTGGGCGAGCAATGCCTGATGTTTCCCGTTGTTGAGCACACACACGCACACACACATGCACTAACACACAACCGCAAACACACAATCGCACATACACGCAACACATATACACGATACAATAAATGACAATTTTTTTTGTTTTCTTTCTTCCTATATGTCTCTCATGGATGTCGTTAACAGTTCATATACATAAGATATTGTAATAATAATAATATGTTAATAATAAAATTATTTGAATAAAAAGAATTTATAAGTGAAACTAAAATCATAAGAGTTTTGATTATATTATATAAATGACTGACCTAAGCTAATTTCTATTTATTTATAGTTAATTTTTATTTTAAGTTAAAATTACTTTTAACCTCGCATCTAAATTCAAATAATATCAATGCTTAGAGAATATAAAAGAGTTACTTAAGAAGGTTAGAGCGCCCTGCAACGAATCATGGATATCCCATTTCCTCAAGGTGTTAGCGTTACATGAGTAGGGGTGTAGGTAAGTATGTGTTCGCGGGGTCAAATCTTGGCGCGGTAGAGTTTACTTTAGTCGTAGCTATGGGAAATGCTCACGCCTACTTCCCTATCTTATTCGCTTTCCTTCACTTTCCACTTCTTTCCGACCGCCCCGTCCGTATTACACGAATAGACGACATTAGCTGAGTGATTGGTAATATATTAGAAAACAAAACAGATACATATACAAATAGATGGTAAATTATTTGATCTGGTGGCATATTCATGTTGTCAAGACGTTTGCAACACGCAACGAGGAGTTTCAAAAGCCCCAAAAAGTAAGTATATTCTTGATTAGCGTTAAATTCTCAATTCACTTAAGCATTTGTGTTTATTCGGTAGTCCGTCTGTCCGTTAGTCCAACCGTCCGTTTTTGCAAAGAGTGGAGTAAATAAAAATGAAATTTAACAAAAACAATGAAAATTGTTCCACACAGTGGTTGGTATACAATGCAACATAAACTAAGAACATCTTTGTTTTCTTGCGTTGTTGTTCATTACTCATAATCGGCCTTACAACCATGATATAAATTTGCAAGCAAATCCTAAAAAAAAGGAGAAATGAGTGACGATCACCCGTTATTCTATTGTTTAAAGATAGTGGATATAAAAGATGCGGTCACAGCCGAATATATTTTTCTTACTTCTAGTCTACGTAATTTGTAAATTTTATCTTTTCAATGGATGCTTAAATGGAGTATTTTGCAACGCTTCTAAATATTACAACTGGCTTGCAATCTCTAACAGTTCTCTACGCTTTGATGATGACGAGTGAGATAATGAAAAATTTTCCCAACACTCATTACGAACAAAATCATAGTTTCCTACCGGAATTATCTCTGTAAAGTAATAAATTAATAATAAAAACAAAAAAAAAAAAAAAAAGCATTTATAGATTAAGAAAAAAACAAAACATTAAAATAATTTCTAAGAGAGGAAAAATGAGAGGCAACAAGAACACAAATTTTTATATATAAAAGAGTTGAGGCCGAATCTTCTATACCCATCACAATTAGCTTAAAAAAAAAAAGTCGTTGCAAATGCCATTTTCACGTTCAACATTATTTGGGAGGCGTGAATTATTCTTCCCACTTTTGTACGGCTACTGCACAAGCACTCATAGAATATAAATATTTTTAGATATGTTGTTTATGGGTCAACAATGGTTTGGTTTGGTTTTGCCTTTGAAAGCGGATCCGTTCTCAGTTTATCTTACCAATGTCAAGCTTGGGCTGCATTTGTAGTATTTAAGCGAAATTTTGATTCTCATATTTCATGTCTGCGACGGACGGCCAGAGGGGCAGACGGACACGCTTAGCTGAATTGCGACACTGCTGACAATGGCGAAGAATACATATATACTTTATTATGTCTTTGAAATTTTCTTTCATGTGTTGCGTAAGCTTTGTCGAAATCAATGTATTCATCGTTCTATGGGGCATGGGTATAATTAATCAACAGCTAACTATTGCATAGAGCACTGTCGCGCTTTCAAAACATTTAGTAATTTTCTGCAAAACAATTTTTAATTCAATCTTTGCATAATAGTTGACCGGTTTGCGTTAAGAGAGGCTTTAAAATAACTAAAACTTTCATTAAAATCTTGAAAATTAATTCCTAGAAATATTTAGCGATAACAATTTCTATCTACACGTGCCAGCCACAAAATCTCTCTAAATGTAATATTTATATGTATATTTTCTAAGAATCATGAGATTTCAATGTTACGCTATTAATGGTTACAGATGTCTGTTGTTATTAAAATAAACGCAGCTCGAAATTAAGAAAAAACTGTATTTTTCAAAATAACAACAATTTGAAGATAGTATGCCTTGTAATGAGCGACTGACTATAGCTTGCATACATAACAGCACTGTCGTTCATGCCCAAAAACACCTCTATGCGAAACGGAGCAGCACATGCGCACTTATAACGCTAAACTAAAAGAATCCGTAAAAAAATTCATGAAAACTTTTCATTACCAGAATGATTTCAAAACCAAGATCGACATAAAATAACTTCAAAATAAGTTCACAATACTAAGATGGCTAAGCCCTTCATTAAGCCTAAAATAGGTGGCAAATAGTCTGTGGGATTTTCGACAGATAGTTTTAAGTCCAACGTAGATGTAAGAATTTTAATGAGCTTTTTATACAACTTTTCTTGCATATATTGTAGGGCTTTTCCTTTTTGTTAAGCGCCAAGAATACGAAGCTTGTCTAGTGCAATTTAGTGCTATTCCTTTCGCCTTTGATCAGTCCGATAGGGAAAACATTCTGACCGATGAGAGCGTCTTCCCTTCCTTGCCTGTCAGGTAATGGATTTTCTTTAAAGGGGATGGAATGTAGTCCATTATCAAAATACCCTACGTGCTACACGATACAACCTTTCAAAACAAAGTCTTATATAAGATGTGGTCGAATAAGTGGTCCGATCCAAAACGTTTTCGTTAGCATTCATCCTTGGACTAAAACATGTCTTTGTACCAAAATTCATCGAAATAACTAAAAAAAAAATTAAGACCTGCAGCTAGAACTCAAGATAATAATGCGGACATAGTGACAGACAAGCTTAGATCAATTTAGGAAGCGATTCTGACTATCTGGAGTCTTTTTACATTTTGCTTACATCCATACAAACTTAATATACTCTTGCACGAAAAGGGGTGTCGCGTATACAAATAATTTTCAAATATTTTTGAAGCGTCATAAGTCAAAGTTGGTAGACTTGAAAAAATTAAGACTTGAAATATAAATAAGGACAAATTTCATAACATAATAAAAATTTTCGTGCATTAAGTAAATATTTTCAGTATATCGACACAATTGAAAGGCAATCTAAAATTTTTTCAATTAAGGAAAACTTGCTGCATCCTCTAAATTTCTACTATAGCGCCTTTCAACAAGTGATGTCTTTTTAAAATTTTTCACGCGATAAAGTCTGCACTCCACCAGTTGCTTTGCTGACTACAATCCATAACATGAACTTCAACCCAAGTGACATAAGTTAACATCGTTTGCGAACGCAAATCGTTCTCTGCAACCGTTGAACGAAGAGCTTTTTTTTTAAAATATGATCGCATTATCCCGAGCTTGAAAGCCGAACTATGTTATCTTTCGCTATGTAGAAGATATTATTCGACTATTTCTCTGAGGTTCTTGGAAACCCAGGTACGAAAATTTTGCTTGTACATAACTACATAGAGAGAGGTAAATACCTCCTCATTATTCAGATTAATTTTTAACCATGCATTTGCAGCATCCAATCATGCGATATGCGCAACGAAGGTAGTCTGTCCATAACAAATGTCAACACAATGACAGGTAAAAGATGATGCGAAATTTCAACTGGAAACTCTTGCTAAGGGGCTCTTTATTGTTTTATTGCGTTATAAGACTACTGTCTGTAGTCTTTTAAATTCACGCGATAATAATAATTCTGGTAATTAATTGAAAACGTAAATTAAAATATATATTTATTTTTGTACACGTAACGTGATAAATTGTAATTTCTTGTTGGGATGTCAACAAAAAATCGCAAGAGAACGATTGAGATAAATTTATGCGTCGGTGTTTTCATTATCACTAACGAAAGATGAGGTAATCTACGTTCGTCAGTTTGTTTGCAATATTCACAAATAATTCATAAGCGAATTGGGAAATCTATTGAAAAAAAATTTTTTTTTTTTTTTTTTTTTTTTTTTTTTTTTTTTTTTTTTTGTTAATCACACAGGGGATGTCCAACTAAGATGCGTAAGACCGTGATTGCCAGAAAGCAAAAAGGAACGAGAAAAGAGATAGGGAAAGTGATGGCCACAGCTTCATATGATAAGCATTATGCCTTCACCACTGTTACGGATCAAAGTAAACTCTACTAACAAAAAAAAAAAAAAAAAATACATGACATTGTTTCATTTTTAATGTAATACAATTCTGATTTTTAAAAATTTTACTTGTTGTCTTAGCCATTCTTGCTCGTAGCATGTATTTTTGTTGTTGTGGAATTAGTTGTATCCAATAGTACGTTGTTGTGGTTTAGTCTACAGAAATTGTAAAAAGAGGAAAAGAAAATCGCACCTGCATCAAAGCATCTCATTATAATAAAGACTAACTTTGCTTTTCCTTCACTAAAGTAACAAATTTTTTAACTTGTGCAAATGAAACTAATTTTGACGGGGATCATATATAAAAGCACGCCTCGAATTTCAATTTTCAAAGCTGCCGGTAAGAAGAAGAAATATATTAAACTTTCTTGGATTAAAATGCAAGACTAGGATGTTCGACGATGCTCTTGATGGCCAAGGAAATCTTGTCGAATATGTCAATATTCCCAATAGACCCAATCACCTTTAACCAGATTCTTGATGTAAGAAGAAGATTTATTTCGATTTATTCAATTCTGCTAATGAATTTTGCATAAAATCAATTTCAAATAAGTAGTGAAGAGAACAGGTTACACGAACATTCTGTATTCGCCAAAGGTGGCCATTTATGAGTAGTTTATCCATTCATCATCAAAATTCAAAAGAAAAGGATATAAGTGATAATCATCTCAAAAGGGGAAATGCCTCCTGGAGTGTCATCAATAACAAAATAAATATCTATCAGCTTGGCGTTTCCAACAGTGCAGTTTTAGATTCTAGGAACCAATCTATTACTGTCCGTACTTCCTTCTCTTAGAACTATATTCATGGTGGCAAGCGTTGGGATTGACCAATGCAACCATACAACAAAAGAATGGGAAAGAAAAGCACATAGTTGATGGTCATATTAAAAGTGGGTTTACCCTACCTGACTCAATAACGGAATAATTATTCAATGGCAAGCTGCAGTAAATACAGCAGCTTAAGGTCTATTGTAATGAATTTGTGTATTGTTATTAATAATTGTTTATTTTTCCATCTCTTAGCAAAATGCTCATGATCGCAAGCATTGACATTGATGAGATGAAATTTAATTCAAGAAAGTAATAGACTTTCATATTTTACAGTTATTCTTCAGATGCTGAGCATTTCAAATTCGTTTCAAAACTTATATATATATATATATATATATATATGTATACAAATTTATTTATTAGTTTGAATATATTTTGCGCGAAATGCAAACAAGAAGAGAGAAACAAATGATTTTAAAACGTTTCAGTCAAATTATCTCTTTTTCAGTATACGTAGACACTTCGCGGTCATCAAACCAGACGGTATAATAATCGCAAAATATTTATTTTTTTGATTTGATTGTGTGCTTTGTGTGACGTATGATATGTAAACAATTGTTTTATTATCGCTGCTATTAACTCCTTTTAATTTAAATTTAGAAAGTAAATGTGATAACAGTTTTTAAATATTCGACAGAAGAAATTATTGAAAAAAAGGTGTGTTATATATATGGGTTTCTCTGCATGCAACTATTTAATGAAAACAAATGCGTATGCATGTGTGCATGAAAAGGTTTCATCAAACATCTAGAAATAGTTATAGTTGAATGCGTATCAATTTTTATTCAAAAATTATACAAGTCCAACAAACAGCATCCGTAGAAGGTATAAAATATTGGTATCGGATACAATATAAATAATGGGTTGATTGTACAAAATTTAAAGATTATGCGGTTGAGTAAAATATCATCATCATTTAGCAAGTGTCGCATAAACACCATTCTTTGCTTTCTTTCTTTTGCTCTAAACCACTTGTGAAAGCATTCGAAATAGATTAACTTTTTTTGCATCGATCGATTCAGAAAGTGATTCGAAATTTGCCCACAGGTCTGTCCGTTTGGTTTTCTTGTGTTCAACCTATAGTCCGTAGTCCTTGAGATCTGAGATTTGATGAAATTTCTTCTGCTGATCTTGGAAATCGCAAAAAGGGGTTTAAAATTTTTAATTGCTAATTAAAAAACATATTTAGTCAACCACACTGCATACTACTTGTGATGCAAGGATATATTAAGTTTTTGGCGGATGTATGCAACATCCAGGAGGCACTTGACATATATCCGCCTATTATTACACGGATCTATATAGCAAGTAATTCTAAGCATATCCGTCCGTCCGTCCGTCTTGTTTTCTGCTAGTCTACGTATAGGAAGCAATTTGTGAGATTAATCTCTTTTACTCCAAAGACGAAAGCTATTGAAAATGCTTCGGATCGCAGCATTTTTTCGACCACTTCCCCTATATCATCTTATTCGTCGGTATATGAATAGGCGGTGTAGGGTATTTTATGGTTAGCCAGGGTCCGCTATAGCCTTTTTACTTGTTTTTAAATAAAATTTTATTGCCCTATGCATTGTACCGTGTAAGAGATTTTCTTATCACTTACAAAAATTTGCAAGTAAGTGCAAGATAATCATTAATGCGATGCAGTGCAAAATTAAGCGTAAATGCGGTTTAACTATCTATGAAATTTAAATGAAACTTTACTCTTAAGAATTTTTTTAACAAGGTGTACAATATTGTCTTTTCGATTGCCATAAGTCTCGCTTAGAGAAAAATGATGGTAAGCTTTTTCGATTACCATGAGCACGTCACCTATTTTGCTTCTATGAAAAGGCTTTTCTTAGACCTACGTAACAATTTCGTTCGAATTTAAGACTACGCCAATCTTGCTTAAATGAAAAGACTTATCCTAGGCTCAGATAATAGTGTTAATGCCAATTTCGAGATTGAACTATGTTATAGATGAGCATCCTATGATCCATAAATTGCAGTTAAACATCGTTTGGAATATCTCGAAATGTGAATTTAAGACCCAACGATCTTACGATCGTACACATATTTCATACATTCAAGAGTTTGAAAAATTGCATCGAATTTTTTACAAGTGAGTCCTCTTAGTTAAAAAAAAAAATAGGCAAAAATACTTATCACTTATTTAGACGCCCATGGATGATCCAATACAAAAAAGTTAGCAGATAGCATAAGGCACTTAAGGAAAATACTTAAGAAGCAACAAAGTGAAAAAAATATTTGGTAAGCAATTGGCGGAAAGTACAATTAGGGCGACATAAGTTTTTCGCAATCCCTTACACCATTTTTGGTGTATGGTAGATTAAGCTTGGGCAGAAGTACGTAACATCCAGAAGAGCTTAAGATAAATCCATCTTTTACTATTCCTTTTGTGTGCTTGTTTGTCGGTCTGATGGTTGTTCATATAATGATATGTTTAACCTACATATCGCAATTTTTAAGATATTTTGATGATTGATTTTCTAGACTCAGATATTTTGACGCAAAAAAGAACGCTATTGAAAATAGTTCAAATCGGTCTACTTTTTCGAACATTCCCCATAAAAAAAGTTGCGTTTTTGAAAGTCTTTCGACAAAACTCATTCTGTAATAGCATTTCGAAAAAAATTTGGTTCGGATGGAACAATTTTTCGAACCTCCTCTCATATAATCGTTCCCGCCTTAACTGGATGGTAAGAAGATCTAATTTCCAATAGTTCGTGGTAAACGCTGATTCGTAACAGTAAATTGACAAACTAACCAAACTCACCTAATTTCGACCATGTACGTCTATTGTTTGGCCACCACTCCATATAAGGATTCTCAGGAAATAAAAACCTGAAGGCCAAAAAGGCCTAACTGTTAATGTCTTATGATGAAATTTTGTTTATAATACGAATTTGCTTTAAAAATGAACTGGAGAAAATTGAAAACACATGGGTCTATTTCTTGGACCCGACTGCATGTAAGATTTCTCCTGAGTAATAAACCCTTCAGAAAAAAACTTAAGTTTTAAAGTTTTATTACAAAAATTGGTCCATCGCAGCACTTTTTTACAAATTTTAACGGTATGGAATTTGCATCATGTGGGTCTATTTTTTATATCCGAACGTATATAGGGTTTATCATGAAAAGGAAGCCCTTCTAAAATTGAGTTTTGGATCATTTCATGAAAGTCTACCCCCTACTCTTGGAAAAGTGTACATAAATAAGACGAAGCATAAAAATATGATCCTTAGGGCTCTGACACAATGGAACCGCGTTTTTTTTTTTTCAAGATTGAATTTCATTGCCATTTCAAGCCCTCACGAATACCAACAAAGTCCTACCAAATATTATAGAAATATGATTTAAAACATGGGATGACGATACGTGTGAATGTCTCGTGTGATCGCTGCAGCAAATGTATGGTGAAAATATTTTAATTATCACTGTCAATTTGTTTACGTGAGCATAGGAGAACACTTTCACCTCTGCGCCTCTGGTAAGCAAGCTTTGAAATGTCGAATATCCAATGTCTGCTGCTAGAGACATATTGGCTTCCTCTATAATAATATGGGCAAGGCAGTCGCTGCTATTGGTGATGGATAGCGTGCGATAATTGATTCTCTGCATTAGAGGGAAAGCGTGGTGCTTAGTTCCAAGCAATACTGCACAACAGTTCAGATATTCAGACACACTCTCGGACTTTTATTTCGGGCTTAAAATTATTTCGGTAAATGCAGACATTCCTTGGTCGATGTGATCGTCAGATTTAGCGGCAACAGATCCTTAGTTTCAGATATTCAGAGGACTCCACAGACCTCAAACAGTACACCAATCCTGCGGGAATATGCCAAAACAAATCAAAGCCACAACTTAAGCAATTTATAAGAACCATAGCGAAGGCATGAATGTTCCGGTAAAAGTTTATGCCCATGAATTGCACCATTGTTGTCATTTACCTCAAATTATTTTTCACACATGCATGACAGAAGTCTCTCATACGTAACGCATGTTACGCTAGGATTTCTTTACATATTGCTAACATAGAGGGGAAGCTATCCTATTCTGAAATCCTTTTGCAACTTACGATTCATCCCACGTATGCCTATATGTACGGTACGTTACACTATCACGATTGATTTTAGTAGTGACATTCATTCCATCTTACAATGTATTACATTCACACGCATAAGCTGATAGTCTAATTACTTTTTTTGTCTTTTTATGCCTTTATTATGATATATTTGCTATATATATTAAAGCAGTTCATAGTCAATACTGTTCACATAGGATATATAAGTCAATAACACGTTCATATAAGATAACAAACTATTTATTCATTTGTGCCCAGACTTGGTAGTTTGATAAGCAAAAATAAAAGTTAATTAAAATAAATATTTAACTGTTTTTCTTATCGCAATGAATGGTAGCTTGCTTGTGGGATCGCTATCAAAGCATTTAAGTATAATTTAGTTTCTAGACAACAGAAATATTAGATAAATTCTAGATCAACTTAAGACTTTGACAACACAATTTATTCACAAACGTTATTTCGGCCGTTTTTCTATACGTACCGCCAGTGATTATTTTACTAAGCTCATGTTTGTCCTTCATATGCAACATAATTCTTTAATTCTTGTTTAGCAGGAAAACATCCTGCATATAAGTGAGAGAAATTCAAGAGATTTATTGATATAAAATGCTTTGGAATATTTGTTCGACAATGAATATCGTAACAATTCTTGGATTGTGCTTAACTCAGAGTTGTTTAGTGGAAAGCAAAAAATATATGCGCTGTGAATTATCAAAAGAGCTGGTGGAACGTTATCAAATCAGTAAAACATTCCTATCAAATTGTAAGTATGCATGCTGGCAAAGCAATAAAAGTACATTTTCTATTCTAATAATAATTGCCTTTGTTAACAAAACAGGGATTTGTTTAATCGAACATGAAAGCGAACGCGATACTAAAAAGTTCACAACGTTAACTAATGGCAGCAATAAAATCGGTTTATTTCAAATCAGTAGTAAAGAGTGTCGTAGCGGTCACAAAATAGAAGAGTGCGACGTTCAAAAGCATCCCTGCTGTAAAATGCCTTGTGCCGGTAAGAATTTCATTATAAAATGAAATTTAATTAAAAATAAAAGCATAGTGAAAACATTATAGTATGACAAGACGCCACAACTATTAAGTACGTATATAAATGTCAAGTACTTGTAGATGTGGCATAGATCCCCACAAACTTCATATAGTCTTGTAGCTTAGATGGTTTAGGGTTTGCTAGAATTTTCATTGCTTACTATGCTTTTTTTTTTACTTAAAAAAAAAACAAGAAAAGTTTTTTATGATTAAAGAAAACTTTTATTTCTAATTATACTAAGTTAGGACGGATGTGTGTAACCTGCAGAAGGACTTGAGATAAAGCCATCGATTCGGAATCGTAATCTGAATTCATTTAAGCCTATCTGTCCGTCTGTCCAGGGAAATTTGTGTTGAAGCTGCAGATCGCAGTTTTTCAAATATTTTTTCGTCCATTTTTTCGACCATTCCCCATATAAGACCCTATTCTGAAAAGTTGTTATGTTGGAAAAAATTGCAATTTTCAAAATTTCTCGGCAAAAATAAAAATCATGTTACATGATACGATGTAAGGTATTTAATAGCCGCCTAGCTCGACACTTGGTTTTATTCAAATATTTTATTTATTTATTTATTTTGATTATTTTTAGTGAATAATTTTTTTTTTATGATATTTTTTAATAATTTTTTTTTGCTTTTTTTTCAAATAATTTTCTTTCCAAAAAAAAAGATTTCCTTAACGATGATATTTCGGACGATGTGGAATGTGCGAAAAGAATATTCGAACAAAAAGGCTTTCAGTATTGGAATGGTTGGTCCACCTATTGTCGTAACCAGCAGAATCTACCGAATTTAAGTATAGCCTGTAATATAAATACCATAACGCCTTTATCAAGATTGCTTTTATTATGATACATAAATGAATTGAAAGGAGTAGGAATAAAACAAGAAAACATACACATTTGTTACAAGCTGCGCGTATGTTTTTTCAACAAAATTGAACGGAAAATTAATTACTTTTTTCTAATAAACATTGCTTGGTTCAATTACACATAGTTAGACTCACGTCAGTCAAATCCAGCCATCTCGTATATAATTTCAGTTAATTTGCAAACACCAGAAACTCCTGAATGAATCTGCTTTGCTTACGATGAACAACTCAGCTCTACTGATTTTAGTTTACATTGACTTATGTCGCATTGTAGGACAACTTGTTTGCTCAATGACTCATTGCGATTGTCGCATTGGTTGTTTTTCTATTTATGTATTTCCAAGTATATGAGGTGTGAAAAAAGCAGTAAACTTGATTTAAAATTATGACCAAAGAAACATAAAATGAAAAATCTGAGCTAAATCCTACTTATGGTTATATTACTTGCAAAGAAAAAATCAATTCCAGAATTTATTTAATGAAAAGAAACGTAAGTAATAATATGCTACACTTATTGACCTCAAATCTAGCGTTCAGTCTGGGCTTTATTGATACTGATATGATTGCTTCCCATTCAAAGTCAATCTTGGAGTTTTTCATTAAAAGCTTTCTAACCAAATTTTGTTGCTCGTTGTGCCTAACACAAATGGCGAAAACATCCAATCGCCTTCGAATTTATCCCAAGAAAATACTTTATGTGTGGCGGCAGAATTTTCCATCACCTAGGAATGATACCCTAACTAAAAATGTTGAAGAGTCTTCTTTCAATCTTTTTTCCACGTTTTACATTTCTTATGACTTATTAGCCTAAAAAGATAAGGGATAAGAGAAGAGCTTAGCTTAGCAAGAGAATAATGAAGGACGAGTTACCTTTAAAAGGTCATAATTAAGTGCTTAGCATAATGATAGCATAATGAGAGCATTTAGATCTTTTGATGACGGGGTAACCAAAACAATTATTGAAACGCAACGCTTTGAACGCTGCATTGACTACTATTTCATAACTAAAGGCAGACGCAGTTGAAGCATTAAAGAAAAAAAATCTAAGACCAATGGTACGATACACCATGGAAAGGAACTGAAAACCAATGCTTGTCTTTGTGACAAAAAAAGAACTAAAAACTAATGCTTGTCCCATGTTGTGTGTTGGTTTTATTTATTTAAAATCGTTCTTTTCGATTACCGATAAGTTAAATCTCTCTTTCTCAACAACTTATCTGCGCTAAGAAAAGCCAAAGTATATGAAATTACAACGCAATTAACGCGCAGCGGGCGGCATGCATTTAACTCCTTACGACATGATTAAAAAGAAAAAAATTTCAATTTAGTTGTTGTACTAAGGTATACTGGTATCTTCAACTTCCTACTAAGGGCAAAATGTAATGAGTAGATCTTTTCTGAGATATTTCAGAGGGAAACAAAGGGAGCAAACCTTCATCTCTTTTTCAGTTTACTGTCCATGCGCTGCAGTAAACTGGCCATCAAAATGGAAGGGCGAGTTTGTAGTGTATTTTGACAATCGCAATAGGGTAATAGATTGTGATATATCAATTTTATCCTCATCCTCTCAGAAAGAAGAAGAAAGTGTGCAGGCACTCTTGTTTGACCGCGATCCGTTCTGGAAACAGAGAGTCCGTCTGTATTTCCGCCCCGCCATTCGCCTTATCCTTTTTGAATGGGATCGGTAAGTATGTGCAAGTGTACAGAAACTCTTGCCTGACCGTCCTCGGGCCTGAGAGGGAACGTCTATGTGTCCTTTCCCCTCTGCCTGCAGTAGACGTAAAATACTGGCGACTTCTTATAAGTCTGGCTATTGTACCGTCCGAATTTCCACTTATACACACTCTGAACGCCGCCAACTATGTTTACGCCTTGATTAAAATTTCATAGCCACAGCTTGAAAACACGATCACGGATTACACCGTCCGTACATATCACCGCCAGAAATACACCTCAATCTACCTTTTAATAGAACTGTGTACGAACACTTACTGGCTTTTTCTTTTCTTCTCTTGTAGTAAAGTAAATATTTGACTTACAAACGCCCAACTATCTTACTTATTTCGAAGCCTTCTTCGCGCCAAACGGTAAAAACTATTGAAACTGCGAACATCGTTTTTGTTTTCTAGAAAGTCCTGAGTAATACCTCAGCTACAGAGACCCCATTAAGCTTACAACACTCAGCGAAGCCGCTTATTATGGCTAAAAAAAATAAAAATTGTAAACGTTTCCAAGAAAGACAAAATGTACGGAATAGTTAGCAACAACATAAGAAATTCCAGTCCCGAAAGGATTAATGTCACGCCCATCCGAAGGAAACGAATAAAAAAACGATCGTTTTATTAAATTGAGTCACAAATACATTCGCTTCAAGGAAATTACTTAGAGCCACTTACTGACACTTAGAGCCATCTACTGTGTTTGTTGTTTAATTTAAGTCTGAATTTTTTTTTTACATTGCTTGGCGTTATCTCACCATATGTGCGAATTCAATAATAATTGAACGGGCGTTGGGTTCATGGTTGACGCATATATCTCACTTTTATAGGGCATTAAACGGTAGTCTGCCTCTGCCTCCAGTACATTTCTTTATCTCGATTTATTTATTTTATAAATTATCGTTAAATAATTAACACCAACGGCATATAAGCGCCAGCGGCTTGCTTTTCAAGTCCGCATACATGTACAAAAACAACTGAAAAATAACTGACTGCTTTACTATTCCCCTCATCTCGAAGATTAAGGAGCCGCATTGCCATTCACTTGCCCTGTAAAAATTCTTTTCGAACATAGTTTAACGCGTTAGACGAAGAGCGCTCTTGTCGATTGACTTTATTAGAGTAAAGAGAGATATGTTACGGATTACTTTAAGGTACGGTTGTCGCATACAGTCACATAAAATGCAGGGCAGTAACGCAATGATCTTTGTGGATACACGTAACAAGTTGGAAGAATTCCAAAGGACTTTTTTTTTGATTCAAAAAACGAACACAAAATGCCACTGCCACTGTGGTGCCAATAATCATTCAAGTCAAGTTAATTTCCTCCCCATACCCATACAGTTACAATGCATATCGCCAAATTTTGATGGCTTAGGAAAAGCTTGGGTGAATTCAACAAAATACGGAATGAATTGTCGCAACAATTATCTGAGAGGAGAACGCTTCTCTTCCTTTATGACCCCCTGCAAAGATTTCAGTTGATTCACAGGACGGCGATTTTTTTTTTTTTTTGAAGAGGCAAACAATTTTGATTGAAACTCTTCCTTCCAGACAAAGCAGGGCCTCTCTAACAGCTCTAATCATTTAGTACTGCCGTCATGTTCGGTTTAAAAAAACTACAGCCACACCGAAGCCCGTAACCAGCAGTCAGAAACTCCATTGCTCCATTGCTTAGGTCGACTTTCCATGGGCTTTGAAAAATTCATAAGGTCGTTCTTTTGCGCATGCGGCTTATCGAACTGAACATTCTGATAGCCTGAACTATCATCCAACTTTTAAACGTGGATTTGTAATGTGCAAGGGGAAAATCAAAATCGCAATACTAAGCACTTAGTCGCACTTTTACTTCTCTAGACCTCTCAATAAGTTCGTAGACTTGGATGTAATCGGGAGCCTCCATAACCGAGTAGCTGATTGTTAAGTAAACAAGTCGGCAAGCAGACGACTTTTCACACTTTCGATGGCTTCTTTATGGTAGCCGGGATCTATCAAATCAAGCTAAATATGGAGAGAAAACCGTATGGAACAAAACTCTGACGCATAACAACAATATAGACTTGCGAGGAACCACGCGGATAGCCTTGCTGATGCTATTCCAGCAATTTTGTTCCTTACAAGTGGATGATAACCTTTTACCGACGCACTGAAAGGTGAACAGGCTTAAGGCGAATATAAAGAAAGTTCTGAAGATATTATTTATGCAATGGAATAGTGAATAGAGCTATGCATGCACTCGCCTTAATATAAAGGAGGAGTTAGTGCACCTGGGATCATATAAACATCGCCGGAATGCTAGCTCGACATATACACTAAAACTAGTAAAAGGAAATAAACACATTATAGTCGTCGACGGTCCACCATTAAATACTCTCCTACCACTGCGCTTAATATAGTTATTCATATAACAAAACATTTTCAAATCAAAACATTTTGTAGCAAGTGGTCGAAACAGTGGCCTGATCGAAACCATTTTCAGTAGCGTTCTTTGTTGGAAATACCTAAGAAATTGTGAAGAATAGATGGTCAGATATGAGATAGACAGACAGACACACCTTCATATATACTTAGATTTTTTTGAGAAATAGATTCTGATTCCGAAAGTCATTCTGAATCCATCGGGTTAATAAGGGCGGGTACTATGCCGAGTCCTTGTGGGAATGGGTGTTGCACACATCCGTACAAACTTAAAATATGTCTTACCAATACAAGTGGTGTAAGATAATAAAGGGTTTCATTGCCACTTCGTTTCTGTCCTTGAAACTATCATGACTACATGATATAGAAATTCAGAGACATCTGGCCAACTTGACTCCATCCGTGACGTTATTAAGTTGCATATAAGCGCAAGTTATGAAATTTTCATTTGACTTGTTAACTAAAGAGATAATTATTCTTTCTTCTAAACTTAACAATCCAGGCAAAGTATTGTTAACTACTACTACTACTACTACTACTACTACTACTACTACTACTATTGTTGGCAAAGTGCATATATTAACTACCATGATTACTATCATCATATCGTTTAAAATAAAATATTGCGGTCAAATTGTAATTGAATCTGCCATTTAAACAAAACAAATTTAAATATATATATTTTTATTTCAATTCTCAATTGTTTTTAAACTTCCGCCGAAACATAAGGATTTCCTTTCCATTGAAAAAAAGAGAAAAAAACAACAACAAACATTTCTTTAATAAAGAAGTGTTAAAACGTATAATATAGAATTTCATGTATTAAATAAAAATTAAAATGTCAGAGCATAAAAAAGTATTTTATGCAAGAAAAATTTTGAATAATAGTTTTTTTTTTTTAGTTCCACAACGTTAATTTTATTATTATACGAATATATACGGATGTCTAATATATGTTTTATGATACACAAAAATATCACATTTTTTTCTTTTTTTTTTTATTATTATTTATGTTACTCTACGACGATAATAGAGAAAATTATACATAAGTACGTTACATCGGAATATGTGTACAGATATGGATGCTTGCATATAAACTATAAAACACATAACAATAATAATAATAATAATAATAATAGCAAGTAATAGTGTGTGCGATATATGTATGAAATCAACAATAGAATAAACAGAACAAGTAATAATTATGTAGGTACAATAACAACAAAATAGTAACTCCAGCCACCTGCACCTTATCACATCTACTCATTCATTTATATTCAATTGTACGCAATCGTTGTAATGTTACGGTTTCAAATTTCCAATTCACTTCACTTTCTCTCTCTCTCTCTCTCTCTCTCTCTCTCTCTCTATCTCTCTCTCTCTCGCTCGCTCGCTTGCTCTTTCCCACACGCACTACTTTGATCTTCATCTAACTGTGCTGTTTACTTTCTTGTTGTCTCTTTTTATACCCTACACCACTGTTGGTACAGGGTGTATTATATATGTACGGAAATACGTAATACCCAGCAAGGCTTAACTATAATCAATTTCTGAATCACGTTAAGCTTGTCTGTTCATCTGATGTCTGCTCAACCTACAGATCTTCAATTTTCGAGATATTTTGTTGTAATTTGGTGCCATCTCATCCAATGACTAACGCTATTGAAAATGGTTCGAATCGGTGCACTTTTTCGACCCATCCACATTGAATGCCTTTCTTTGAGCACTTTGACCTTCCAAATTGATATGAAAAAGTTTGGCTCGGTTGGGGCAAATTTTTGAGCCTCATTTTTACGAAAACGAAACTTTTATATGACAAAAATTGGTTCGTAATAGTAACGCGACAAAAGAATCCACCTAACCGAATTTGGACCTATTGTAGACCTATTTGTTAGATACAGCCATACGTAAGAATTCTCAGGAAATTAAAATCCTCATATGCCAGAAAGGTCTAATAGTTAAGGCTTTGTGATGATGTAAATTTGTTCTTGATAGTAATTAGACAAAAAAATCAAGTGCATTCAATTTGAATCCAGTGGGTCTATTTCGCGGACCTCACTTCATATAAGATTGTTCATGAATAGTAAGCCCTACAGAGAAAGATTTAGTTTTTCGTAAAAAATTTAACAAACAAAAAATTAACGATAGAGAATTTGGACCATATAGATTCATGTTCTAGACCACAACAAACGTACCGGTTATCAAGAAAAGGAAGCCCTTATTTGAAGAGAGTCTAATTTCTAACTGAAACTGAAAAATAATAAAATTTATAGAAAGTAAATGAAGTTTGCAAAATCTGGACCATACCATGTGTTATTTCGGGCATCCTCCGGGCATGCGGGTTTACACCGAAAATGTGCTTTGGAATGCGTATTCGTGTATGGTTACCAAAACGAGTGGATAACCCTACTAGACGAAGTGGTATAAGCTACGTTAAGTAGGTCTTGCCCTACTGTGATATCTATCCTACTTTGTCTTTTGTCGTCTTTTGCTGCTTACTGATTATTATTTTACATTTTTGAAAATTAAAAAATCAAAAGAAGCGAATTTTATAAAAAATAAAAAATAGGCCCAGTCTTCCGCTAGAAACGTCCCGTTTTTTTTTTCTTTTTTCTTTTTGCATTATTAATACATTAACAATTGTTTTATCTGCTTGAATGTATGCATAAATGTATGTGTATACGTATAATTTTTCTTTTTAACTTTTTCTTGCTTTTTTTTTTCATTTTTTTATTTTTTTATTTTTTTTTATTTGTTTCATTTTACACTATTGAAACGTTTGAATGCCTTTAATTTCCGGTAGTCATGGTTTACGCTCATATTATCGCTCACTGCCCTGTTTGGGTTTGTGTTTGTGTGTTGTTCAATTCATTGTGACAGGTAAGAAACCCACATAGTAAGCATGCATGTAGAATGGTACGCATGGTTTATAAATAAAATCAACAAAAACAACGATAGCAGTAACAACAACGACAACAACAACAACAGCAGCAGCAGCAGCAGCAACATAACAATATAAATATATTCTAAATATGGTTGAAAACAAAACGAATACATAATAAAATGAAAAAGAAGAATACGTTAATATTCTTTATGGTGATTTAGGCACTTTCAGCTTTATTTGTATGTGTGTGTGTGTGTGTGTGTGTGTGTGTGTATTTTTTTTTGTACTTTTGTGCCTTTGTAAACGAATAGGCGAGTAAGTGTGCTTCTTCTATGTGTACTGTGTAATTTTAATAAAAATTATCATATGAAGTCCAGTAGACCGTAACAGTAATATTTTTATAATGTTTTCCTGTTGAACTCTACAACAACAACAACAACAACAAGAACAACAAAACAGAAAATAGTGCTCAGGAAGTTTGCTGCTAAAGTCTTTTATTATCAATTTTTTTTTATTTTTTCTTAAAGAATTTTCCAAATTTTTTCTTTTTTTTTTACGTTCTTTTAAACACTCGCGCTTAGCAATTCAAAAAAATCGACACAAACACCACTGCATAATACTGGATTTTTGAAAAAAAAGTTCCCCTTTGGCCGTTTAATTTTAATGGAAATAAGTTCTGCGCTATACCTGGAGCAGGTTCGACGCATTAAATTATACTGTATTCAATTCAAAAGATTGAACACTTTTTTTTTTTAACATGACCACTCAGTTCAGAGCATGTCCCCTATTCAAGTAATACGGCGATCGTCAGAAAGAAGAGACGAAAGAGAAAGAAACAGGGATGTAGTGGCCGCTGCTTAGTGGGTTTGAGCCCAATCAGCAAGTGTTATGCGTTTACCGACTGTCCACTCATTACAGCTATGAGCAAAGAAAATTTCGTTGTCCGTAAAGGGTATGAAGATATCAAATAGTTTGGTGCATGAGAATACTTGTTATTAGAATTCGTGTTCGCCTCCAGTGTCTAACTTGCAACGGCTTTGTTACATAACTAGAACTTTACATAATGAAGAGAACGTACGCTGCTATTCCCTATCTACTATACGGATATTGGCAGTAATTTCCCGAAGATAATCTTTTGGATTTGTTTGCAAATCATCACTGAAGAACTGTAAAGTAATACAAGAACAGATCGACTTAGAAATTGTAAATTTTATCAAACGCACCCGACATGAAGA